TTGCCACTAGTCTTCTCTGCTGCATCATTAGATCTTAGATATTTTCTGCATCTGAGGAAGGAGGACAAGCAGGGGATTCCAAGAGGCTGTCCAATAGGTTCGGAGGTCAGGGAGGTGAGAAAAAGTGAGGAAAGGCAGAGGTATGGGAGAGTCCTGGAATGGGGTGATGTGGCACTAACAGTCTTCCTTTCTCTTTTGTCTTCCCACCTGTCTTTCTCCCATAAAAGGCGGCACTGGAAAAGTGTCGTTCCCAGGGGTCACTCAAGCTAGGCACTTCGGAAAACCTAATAGTTACCCCCAAGCAAGGTAATGACTCTGAAAATCTGCCTGTGTATACTTGGATTTGTATTTTTGGTTTTCTCAAAATGGCACCTGTATCTTATGAGTATTTTATATATTTATTTACTTTACTAGTAGTGAATAACAACCAGAATCTCATTTGTTACAAGAGAACTTTCGCAAACAAACATTGTTTCACATTTTTCACACAAAATACAAAAACTAGTATTGACCTTTGCACATCCTACACCTCATAGGGATCATACTTCTAGTAAATGTTAATCAGTCATTAATGCCAATTGGTTCCACCCATCAGTCAGTACATATATATAAAAAATAACAACAAAAGCTAAATCATAAAGACTTCCTCCAATCTAACTCAATCTTCAACTATAGTGGGTGAGCTGCTGAAAGACTACCAAGGTGAAGTAGGCGGAGCAGCAGAGAGTGACCTGAAATCGCTGTGTGTTGCCCTCGTTGATGCGCTGAACCAACGATCAAGAGCCTTAAGGACCCAGCGCTCTGCTAACAAGTAATTTGTAATCCGTTTTTCTGTTTTCTTTCTTATTACTCACCTTTTGTGTTTCTTTTCATTATTCCTCCTCTTCCCCCTTTTCTTCTTTGTCCTCATTCTCTTCTTCATTGTCCACTTTTGCCTCTCTTAACTCTTATTTTGGTAATTGGTCATTTGCAACTGCAAATATAAAAATTCATTGACAGAGATGTTCTTTTTCCCCACAGAGTGTTGGTGGGACGAGTGACAGAACTCGAGAGACAGTTAGCCGCTGGGGATGTCAAAGATATAGAAGGAACAGATGGCAGTGATGGGAGCAAGAGGCTGGCAGCAGGACCTCAGCTGGGGTCCCTTAGCCTGATGGATGGCTATGTTCATCCATCGGGCCCCATTCCCAAGTACTCGCAGGAGGAAATCTTACAGGACCCACGGCTTGTGAAGCTCTTGCAGGGTAGCAGTGTTAGGGAAGGGGATGTGAGTGCAAGGAAAGAAAATGCTGATCATGGTGTTGAGAAAAATGAAGCCAGTGTCTGCAAAGAAGACCCAAGATGTAAAGCCTCAAGCGAGTCAGGTGTTGTGAATAAACAGAGTCCAACAAAAGCTGAATCTCAGACTAATGTTGACAAGACACAGGGCAGTGCCTCCAATAAAAGTGCCTCAAGTATTAACAATATAAACAACCAGAATACAGAACTTTCAGAGGGTAATGAGGGGTGTGAGAAGAGAGAATCAAGTAACAGTGAAAAGGATTATGTAAAGGAAAGGGACAAAGGACAGGAAAAGGGAGTCTCAGAAATCCAGAAAGGCGAACAGAACACTAAGTCCTCACAGAAAGTCAGTAAAAATGCTGGAAACTTAAGTGTGAACAGTGTTCCCACAAGTAAAGTAACCACATACATAAATCCCAATGATGACCTAGAGGAAATTATACCCATAGATCAGTTGGACTCGTACATCAAGGAGGTTCAGCTCCAGCGAAAGCAAACCAAGAAACCCGTTGCAACCTCTGAGTCAAGCCCTTCTGAGAAGAAAGTCAGTGAAGAGCCAGCTACCTCAAATCCAGAAAGCAAAATAGATCAGCATTCAAAAACTGCCAATGGGACTGAGAGTACAGGTGTGCAAGATATCCATTCATTCTCTACACAGGTCATAGAAGAGGAAGAAGAGGGGGATGATGATGATGACAGCAGTTTTGATCTGGACATCAGTGACTACGATAGTGACAATGACAACCTTGATGCAGCCCTGGAGGAGTGGCAGAAGGACTTTGCTCCAAAGGGAGGTCAAGGCAAAAGTAAGGCCCTCAAGTCAAAAAGCAGTCCATCCAAGGAAGGAAAGTCAAGTGCAAGAGAGAAATTCCGTCTATTCAAGAGGGACAACAGCTCAGAGACGGAGCTCCCTCCTGCCCTCCAAAAGCTCATTGATCAAGCCACTGCCGATGCTATAGGCGATGGGATGCAGTGCACCTGAGCCTGGCACTCACTGTCAGTTCTTGGGAAAAGTAATGCAAAACAAGCCTTTTTCTTTTTGGTTTTGTCATTTTTCACTTCTTTGATTACACATATTGAGTTTTATTAGAACACTGGTTAAAAGGTAATATGGTGAGGATTCAAACTGTAGAACTTATTCAATAGAAAAGATTTTAATACTTAGAGACACCATGAGGCCTACTGCTCAGCATTATACTTAAAAGACTAATGAAACACAGATCTACATGATATAACAATAAAAAATTAAACTGATATATGCAATAGCATATCTAAATACAGAAAAGTTAACAGTTAAGTTAACAGTTAGACCAAATCACATATATCTAAACTCATAACTGCATAAATATTATTCAGAATAACTAATAATCTATTTCTAAACTGATTTTCGAAGAAATGAAAAGCAGAAGAAAGATAAGAAATAACAGGAATACACAAACAAATACAGTATTACACAAGCAGACAAATAAAAGGATAAAAAGAGAGAAAGCACATGAATGAGTGTATGAGTAAGATATGAGTGAAAGTGAGTGAGAGTAAGAGCATGAGTGTGTGTGGCCAGTCCTTTGAGCAAAGCTGTATAACTCGTCAGGAATTCCCATTTCTTAGACTACCACAAAAAAGGGAAACTGTATTCACTGTATTCAGACAATAAGCTCTAAAGGGTCTGTTGTATAACCGAAACTTCATACCATCCAAGTGATTGTATTTTTTTTTTTCTTATTAGTGCTTCAGTTTCACAAATTTGTTCATATATTTCTAAGTGATTTTGCTTTTAATTAGCTTGTGATTTTTGTTGGATTCATCTGTATTACAATTACATTCCATCAGAATAGGCTATTTCTGGCTCATGAAACTTTTAAATCATTTGCAAAGAAAATGGAATATGATTCAATAATTTTTTTTTGCCTTCCTTTTGATTGGATGAATGTTTTGTTCGGCACAAATAAAAAATTCTTGCTAATTCAGTTGGTAATTTCTTTCATCTTTCATATAGAAAAAAAATATGATGTATTTGCATGCATTTTTATTTTTTTCTGGTTTATTATATAATTCATATAAAATATTTATTTCTGCAGATTTTGAAATTTAAAATTATAGCAATTATATCAAAATATACCTCATATTTTGTTCACATACATTGTTCAAGATAAGCATTTATATACTGCTGGTATGCATTAAGAAAAAAAAAACTTAAATGTACAATATAAACAATAAATTATATTCTATAAAGATTCTTTTTTAACCATACTTTGGCAATTCATATTTCCATATCTTCTATTATGTTTGTACATTTAAATGGAGCCCAGATATTCTTAGGGAATCATGGAATAGCAGTAGAGAATATAGAACTTTCAATGAAAAGAAAAAAAATAAAAAATTTTAGAGCACAATTATTCCCTCCTACATGTAGCGCTCTTTTGATAAGACTGATAAGATAAGTTAAAAATTATTATTACTCTATCACACTTATAAATCTTGACCCACAGCCGCTAGGGATTCCTTGAATGCACATGCCATGCCTGCTTTGAGTTTTGTTTATTAATTGTCTTTACACATAGATGGCTCCACAAATACCAGGTCACCAATGAGCCAATTACAAGTATTATTTATCTCGACTGTTTATGTTTTTCATTGATTTTCAGATTTTATTTCTGATATCTTATATTGTTGTTTGTAATGTCAGTAACATTATAATAGTCATAATGACAATAATGATAATAACAGTATCAATATTGATAGCATAAGTATAAAATCCATTTTTCCCGCAAATTGAAGGTGAAATGAGGTGAGGTTACAAGATTACTCCTTGTGTATAAGCTCTAGTAGAGTAAGCAAATGTGGAGAAACATTTCAGAAAACAGCACTGCAGGGAACACTACATTTTCATGGTGACAATAGGCTTTTGGAATACTGATCTATTCCAAAAGGTTTTGAACATTTAACCCAGGAAGCATCTATTCTTGCCATGACAGACTGAGCCCATAAAGCATGTATCCAATTGAGCCTACTCTCTATAATGCATGCTAAAGAATCATTCGTTGGTTTGACCTTAACTGCAGTAATTGAGGACGGAGCAGCCCTACAAACTGGGGTTAAAGTCACTTTTTAGCTTCTTTTATTGAAAGAGCATACATGCAGCCAAAATTATAGACAATTGAGAAAACAAGTGTCTTCTGCTTCTAATTTTCATTTAAGAAGCTGACTGTGTGCTGTGCTTGGCTCATTATAGTTTGGATAAAAATAGTCAAAGGGGTAATAAGGCAATTTATGCAAAATCAATATATGTAAGAAAAATAGTTTACAGAACAATAATGCACATATTGTATAAGTAATATATTTGTATGTTAACTGAATGATAACCACTTAGAATGTAAATAAGATGTAAATTCAAGGTTACTGCAGAAGTCAAATAGCTGGATATTTACTTTTTTTTTTCATACAAGTTCCTTTGTACTAATGTCGACAAAGTAAATAGTACGGTATATTTCTTTTTTGTCTGTATCAGCCAATCAGACATTACACTTTTCTGCAAAATAAACCAAACTTTCCTATCATATTCTGTATACACACTCACTATATACATTGCTTATAATCAACTTTTCCAAAACCAAATGACTTCCTTTCAAGAATTTTAACACCTTTCATCTCAGGTATGCCTTTTTTTTCATATTCTGCCAATGCTCCTTCTCAGCATGTGTCTTCAAATTTCCTTCAAGTTCCTGAATTTTTTCTTCATGGTGTTTCTGCAAGATGAACAGAGGAGAGATTTCAAGATAAAGAGAAGAAAAAAGATAAGGGCACATGCATGTATGAATACAAGTACCCCCCAAAAAATGCGAACCTACGATAACAATAAAAACACACCAATGTTCACAGACACACATGCATATGTATTAGGAAATGTACATTCATTTATTTATTCATATTTACTCCTAAGCACCTATAATCACACATAAACATTTGTAAATAGGAATTTTGCCAACTCTACTGTTCCATTACAATGTCAAGGAATAATCAATTTGAGGCAAGGGACCCATGTATATGGCAGAGTGGAGTGATGTTAAGAAGTTGAACTAGGGAGACTCTATATCCTAACTATTGCAGACAGGAAACCAGGAGAGATAAATATCAATTTGAGGAAAAAAGAAAAGTCTTTACAGTGGGTATATATAAGTGAAAGGTATAAAATGCACCCAATACTGACTTTTACGAAGAGGAAGCCGTGTCTCATAGAGGCAGCTAGATATAAGGTGCGAACAACCACAGGCTGGTAGTGTATCGTCTTGACATGTGGCAGTGCCATTGCAATTAACTGGTGGGGACCTCTGATTGAACTTATGAAGGCTATTCGAGTCTCTGCATTGCAATATTTGACTGTAACAAGAAAAGTTAAGTTTAAAACATGTAGTCATGATACAAGACAGATAAAATTACCTATTTGCGTGAAGAAAATTGGAATAAACAAATGAACAAACTTAAAACATGTAAAGATATAATCTTAGACTTGAAAATGATCAATAACCACAATAATGACAAAAACAATTACAATATCAAAAGATGAAAAAGAAACTACCAAATAATAAAGGCCACATACTCTGAAAGCCTGAAGTTGTTGCTGCAACACCGAAATCCCCGTGAAGCTTTCTCACAGTATCGACTATGGCATTCTTCAGTCCATACCAGGTAAGTTTCAAGGACTTCTCTGGCACTACTTCAACCACAAAATATCTGTAATATAACTTGTATTAAGCCTATGTGCTTCTCATTAACTGGTTTTCCTTCCAATGGCTACTATAATATTTCTAAGCAGAAAAAGTTGGCAATAGAAGGACATTAAGAATATACACAAAATCAAAATTATTTTTTTCTTGAAAATACAGAATTTATTAGAAGATATGCCAAAAGTTGTTGTCTAATTAGGTGAAGTAATGTGAGACAAATATAGAAAGCATAGCTTTTAAACTAGTTAGAGCAAGCAAGTAAAGTTAGATTAGGTATTGAAGATTACAACTATTTTGAGACCATGAACCTGTGTGTGTGTGCATATATATATATATATATATATATATATATATATATATATATATATATATATATATATATATATATATATATATATATATATATATATATATAGATATGTGTGTGTGTGTGTGTGTGTGTGTGTGTGTATGTATATATGCATATATGTATATATGTATATATGTATATATGTATATATGTATGTATGTATTTATGTATATATGTATGTATGTATATAGATGCATACACATACACATACACATACACATACACATACACATATACATATACATATACATACACATACATACATATGTATATATGTGTGTATATATATATATATATATATATATATATATATATATATATATATATATATATATATATGTATATATATATATATATATATATATATATATATATATATATATATATATATATATATATATATATATATATATATATATATGTATGTGTGTGTGTGTGTCTGTGTATGTGTGCGTATATAATATAAATGTATATACATATATGTATGTTTCACAGTCATCCATGGTTATAAAATATGTGAATCTGTTATCCAAATTCTCAAATAACCAGTCCAGGGGCATGTAAACTAATATCCTTCCTAACTCCCATCCAGTTGCCATATCTCCTTGGGTCTTACCCTATTTGCCATGGACTTAGTATCCATGTCTCATGTATTTTCTTCGCTTTTTTTTTTTACTCTTCTTTGCCTATGCAGATTACTTCATGCATCATGGAGGTAATTCTTCCTTCTTTATGACAGTGTTATTATATTCCCAATCTTAATGCAGTCTGTATGTAACTATATACAAAAGTATAGTAATTAACTTGCAAGAAAATGACATGGATGAAAAGAGTCCTCAAGATTATTGTTTTGTCCATTACAGACAAAGATTACTTTGTACCATATGGCTGTGTGGAACTCAAATTATTCCAGTGATATTGAGGTTATGTTCACTCTCTGTAGATTGTTCTCTTTAGTCAACTGTATTGTTTCACTTTTCTCTGAGAAGCTCAGAGAATTACCATCCGGTTAATGTTACCAAGAGCGATGCAGTGATAGTGGGAAATGGACACATCCATCTTATAGAACATAAGAAATAGAATTATAAACAACACAAGAACAGTTGCACCGGTCTCATATTTATTGCAAAATGATGAAAATATCTT